TTAAAGAAAAGGGGGGGGGGGGGTGTTGGGAGCTTGTAGCACTAAAAGATTAAAATGTAAGGAAAGGGAGAGAGAAAAGAAGAGGAACATGAGTAAGTCCACATTAATAGATAATGGCTGTTCATCAAGTTACTAGTTGCTACATTTGTATGAAGAACAAGTTTTATAATGTAAATTCATAGAAGAAAAATGGCTCTAACACATATAACAGAAAATATATCATATCCTACAGATTCATAGATGTAATCCGTATATATCAGCAATACTTCTATGATTATATTCTATACTGCATATGCATATTATTTTATTTAACATAAAAATTCATATTTCCCTTTGAATTCCTCACATTAAACATGAGAATTTTTTAAATTGTAACCTAGACATTCAAAACAGCAGAATAGCATTGAGGATCTTACCTGTGAGAGAGGGATTGAAACGATAAGAGGTTCTCCATGCTCCTTCAATGAAAGAATCTTAATTGTTTTCTTTGAAACTCCATCTTTGCTCACAACACATCTTGTAAGAACATTCAGTGCATAGTTTGCATTTTCTGGTCTTATACTTGCATCATCTGGATTAAACACCACCATTTTTAATGAATGAAAAACTACGAATGTCTAATTAATGTTTAACAGAAAAGGTAACAATTCTTAAATCTCACCATCATGATTGCTCTTCACTCGATGGAAGTCTAGTAATATTCCCCAAGTAATTGGGTCCTCAATTGAGAATGACGGAGACTTTCCTTCATCAGTGCATTGTATACACGATACCCTGCCATATTTCATATGGGGTATGCAATACTTTGGTGACGTTACAATATCACGAACCTCCTTCTTCAAACTTTTATATTGCTGAATCAAATTGTAATGATTCTTCAAACTATCCTCTTCTTCAATTTTCATTGAATCCCTCTCTTCTTCCAGGACCTTTATTTCTTTCTGCAAAAGTTATCAGTTCAACAGTCAGTTCTACGGTGGAGCTAAACAACTAAAGAATAAGTTATTAAGCATTTTGTTTTGTGTTCTAGCAAGACTTTTCGTGATTATCCAAAACTCAGTTTGGCACAAATCTTGGTTAATTATTTGTTCATAATGAGAACAACACAAAAGAAAAAATTAGCTTCATATCATATCAATTAATTTACTAATCACTTTAGTAGACAAAGTCTGTCTCCAAGTAAACTACAAAAGAACTTTAGATACATGTTTTACCATTGATAAAAAAGCTTAATAATTTTATTAACAGAATCTAAAATCAGTTTTATTATTCTGGAAACAGAGGTAACTAAGATGAAGGTACCAAAAAATATAAAATATTTCTCGGAATCCATAAATAGCAACAACCCTCAAGATCAGGAATGGCACGATCAGCCTGGAACTGATAGAATGAATTACGCAACATATTTTCAGGATTACCATCTTCACAGCGCAGTTTATTTAAAAGCATGTTGTAGTTCAAATGAAAGGCACTTGAAACACAATGGAAAAAGTTAAGATGAAGGAAATGAAGGAAATAAGGGTATTCTCAGGGAAAGTACATATCATAAATCAAAAGTAAATCCAGCAATTCTTGTTTTATTCGAGTTTCTCATTTTTATAATAAGATTTTCCTCATTCGATATCTGCTGCTTTTAGCATTTGTTGAAGTTTAAATCCCTCAATCCCCACCCCACCCCTTATCAGTTAAAAAAAGGACAATAAAATTACCAAAATGGCAATAAAAGTTGGGAGAAAAATCTTTAACGAAATCAAACTCTTGAATAAATTCTTGAATTCTTCATACGTGTTTAACCTGTCACTGCATTCAATGTTGCAATCAGTCATTCTCCCAGATAATTGTCAATCATATTTTCATGATCCTAGAACACCTACATATTGGTAGCCACCCTTCTAAACCCAAAATAACAAGGAATAATCACTGAGAAGAAGTATCTGAAACTAACCCTTAACCTAACTACCTCAAATAAATTGCTACAAAAGAAACAGTATCTTCAACCTTCTCCAACTATGAACCCAAAATCAATCTATTGATTTTCATATTCCTTTTATTAGAAGATGCTCATAAATGAGTTAACAAACTAGTTTCTCTTTTGTGAAACATTAGCCTGGGAAAAAAAAAAGAAGGATCAAAACAGTAAAAAAAATCATTTTATTTTGCAATGTATATGCTTTATGGTTTTACAAGTACAGACACCCCCCTCAAAGAAGCCATTCTTCAGAAACAGAACTTGGTTGACTAAAACAACTGAAACCTTCTGACCCATCAGAAGTCAAGCCACCTCATAAGAGTACATGTCGTCACCATTAAACCAGTCCATCTATCTGAGATCCTAATAGCATCATAAACGAGCTCACTTCAAATCCACTAAAAAAGAACAAAAGAAAAATAAAAAACAAAAACAGCCATAGATGTGACAAAACTTTTAAACTAACAAGGATAAAAAAACCCCATGAGATACACCCCAAAATTGAATCCTAAGAAGCATCCAAGTGTTAATAGAACAGCCTATAAACATCCTGCATTGGCAGAAGAAGTACCCGTTCAAACTATCAGCACTTCCTTTAAGCATTAATTTAGCGGTAGAAGGCTCCAACTTTTCATCTACCATTAGAATGCATATTCCTTGTTCGTCAATACCTCGACAACCAGCACGGCCACTCATTTGTATGTACTCTCCACTAGGTATCCATCTAAAATTGTTCCCATCGAATTTACCAACATTGAAAAACAAAAGGTTTGGCTGGCATGTTCAGACCTATGCTGAAAGTCTGTGGCAAACAAACACTGAAGAAAATTCTTTTAACATTTATAACACCTCAAGAACAACTTTCTATTCAAGGTTAATTCAACCAAGAATATTACACCAAGAAGCTAAACATACAAGAAAGTCAACAAAAAAATATCCCACCCCCCCAGCCACCCTGCACAGTAAGAGTAGGATCCCAATTAATAACATGGGGTAATTAACTAACCCAATATGAACTTGCTAAGCCAGGTATTTGTCCAAATTCTATTAGATTCTTCAAGTGTGACTTAAAAACTACATCTTGAATTGTATAAGCCAATACC